GGGGCTCTGTGAAAGGTCGCAGCCCCGCCCCCGCCTCCACTCCCCCCCAGTTCCCAGGCCCAGCACTCCCACCCTGCAGACCAGCCGCCAAGGCTGAGGCCGGGTAGAAGGGCTGGGCTGCACTCCTGGCCTGGGGCCGGGGGCGTCGCCGAGCCTGCAAGTTCAGGAGAACCAGGGGGTGGTGGCCAGGCTCAGTTTCGGTTTAGAGGCAGAAGGGCAGCGTGCCAAGCCCAGCTGGGCCGGGAGGACGGCTTCCTGGGGTATTTTTCTGCTTGTTGATTTTAGTTGGGAAAAGAAAAAAAAAGTGTGTGTGAGCACGTGTGCATGTGCGCGCGTGTGCATGTGCGTGTGTGTGCATGTGCGCGCGTGTGCATGTGTGCGTGTGTGCATGTGCACGTGTGTGCGCAGTGCAATGAAGAGGCCTGTGCTGGGAGGGGGAAGGTGGGGGCTCCCGGGGTGATCCCCCACTAAGCTCCTCCCGCCAGGCCTGAGTTCCCACAGGCAGCCCTGACCCCACCTCGCTGCTGGTCCCAGCGCCCCCCGGCCTCCCTGGACCCGCAGCTGGGTGGTCTGGGCGGCTAGGGCTGCAGCCGGCCCCCAGCACGTGCCCGAGCCCAGACTGGCGGCGCGCCGGAGGCAGTTTCGTAATTACCCGGCCTCCGCGTTGCTACAGGGCAAAAGCAAAGCAGGGCGGGTTGCTGGAGTTCGGAGGTGGCGCCTGCTGCTGAGGTCGGCCCTGCCTTTGCAAAGGAGCCTGGCACCGCAAACAGGGACTTGAGTAACGTGCTGGTCCCGGCGCGGGGCGGCGCGCGGCGGAAGTGGCAGAGACTCGCGGACCCGGAGGCTCTACACGTTTATTACAGGCCATCGCGGTTACAGATAGAGCCGCGTCTGCCAGCCAAGTCCCTGTGTCCGTCACGCTGGAAGTCACCTCGGATGCCTCGGCGACCTGCAGGTCAGCTCACTGGGCGCTCCCGCGACCCCGACCCGCACAGCCCCAGGTCCAGAGGCGTGGTCCTGCTCTGCAGCCCGGCCAGCCCTCTCCGGAGGGCGGGGGCTCAGTCGCACCCCACCCGCCAAGCATCGAGTCCAGACTCTATGATGGGGGGGCTATGGCTCCCCCACTCCGGCTTCTGCTCCATCGCGAAGGCCGAGCTCCAGGGTCCCCTCTCCTGCTGGCCCCGGTCCCCTCTCCTCTTCTCTCGGTGGCCGCTGCTGGCGCGGCCCCCAGCTCCGCCTGGGGGGTGGCCCCACACCCCCTCTCCTCGCCGTCAGCCTCCAACTCTGACTCTGCCCCTGATGGTCTCATGGGTTGGGTTGTTTTGGGGGGTTGATCTGGGGAGGAGGGGGTCAAGCATGTAAGTTATTTTTTTGGCAGCAACTCGGCAGGTCTGTGACCGGAAGGGCCTCAGCGTTCCTGGAGAGCGATGGAGGGGACCCACTGGTTGTTGCCCCGGCTTTCCTCGCAATAGCTGGCCACCTCGATCAAGCCATGGCTCTTCCAGCCGTCGGCGTGAGGGTTCTGTGGGAGGGAGAGACAGGGGTTCAGCGGGAGCCCCGGGGTGGGTGGGCAGCCTCCCTCTCCCGCGGCCCCTCTGGGGAAAACAAGCAGGCTCAAAATAGCTCCCTGGGTGACGGTGCCCGGCCTGCTGCCCACGGACGTGCCAAGCATGGCTGGGCGCTGAGCTGGTGCACCCCAGCCAGCTGATGTGTTGACAAAGGGCCCAGGTGCCTGGGCAGGGCGGGGCGGAGCGGAGGCCGGGCTCACCGTGACTAGGAGGCAGTGCAGGTCGCGGGCCTCCGCGGCGCCCTGCGTCTCCTCCGGCTCCCCCAGCAGCTGCGCCAGGCGCTGCATGCCCGACACCCGCACGATGTTGATGTCGTTGTCACAGCAGAAAGACTGGATCAGCGTGAAGTGGATCTGCAGGGCGATGTCGCCCTCCTCCTCCTCGTCAATGGCTAAGAGGCACAGGACCACGCTGTCAGGGTCCCTGGGGGACAGAGGGAGGGGACAGGTCAGCTGGGGGCAGGGGTGCTCCAGGCAGGGAGCGTTTGCAGAGGATGTGCAAGAGTGGCCAGACGCTACCGTGCAGGGGAGGTGCAGGGGGTCCCCGCCACACTGGCGAGGGAACGGGGAGAAGGAAGGGGAGACCACTGTTCAAATTGTCGGGGAGCCGTAGGACCATAAAGGGGGGGCACTTGCAAACCATGCAGTGTCGGCTAGTGCAGCCCCTCCCCCCAAAGCAGACAAGTCCTGAATCCACAGTGGGGTGCAACTGGGAAGTCCCCGCCAGCTCAAGAGTGGGGTGCAGGGGGCGTGCAGAGCAGAGGCGGCGAGGGGGCTGACTCACACATTCATCAGCTTGGCCGACTCGTACACCCCCACGGTGAGGCGGTCCTGGCGCTGCGCGGCCACCAGGAGCTCCTCCACCGCCGCGGTCACCGTCTGCATCCTGCGGCCAGAGAAGTGGAGGGTGAGCACCGAGCAGAGCAGGCCGCCGGGCGCCGCGTTCCCCTCCCGGCCCGGCCCGCCCGCAGGACCTCAGGCCGCGGTCCCCGGCTACTTACTTCCGCGCCGCGTTGTCGCACGCCACGAGCTCGTCCAGAGTCATGATGCAGTTATAATCCACAGCGGGCACGGCCCACGACAGTCGCCAGCGCAACTGCAAAGTCCGAGCCAGACAGCCCAACACCTTCCCACGGAACGGGGCGCTCCTCCACGGTCTTCAGGAAGCAGTGAAGTCCCCCAGAAAAGGCGGAAGAAAAATTGCCAAGTCCTCAGCGAAAACACTCCAGGAAGCCCAGGAGAAGGTCTCGCCGTCTCCGCTTCAGCGATCTGAGCCCGCGGCGGCAGCGCCGCCTTTTAAAGACTTCTGCGTCTAGGGGCGTGGCTTCGGCCGAGCCTCCTGCCCCTCCGATTGGAGGAAAAACAAAGGCGACAGCAGCAGGCGCTGTGGTTGGCCGGCGCAGGGAGGGGAGGAGCGCCCGCCGGGGGCGCCCCACGTGGGGGCGACAGCCAGGAGGAGGGCGCAGGGGGTGCGACGAGTGCCAGAAAAGGGAAAAAAAAGCAGAAGTTTTCCTCCTGATTTCCCGGCAGCCGCGCCGCGGTTCGGGGCGCGCGCGGGATTTCCAGCGCGCAAGGCGGCCCGGACTTTCGGGGGGGGGGGACTGGAATCCCCTCCCCGTCCGCGGAGAGTCCCCGGCCAGCGCTTTTCCCAGCCCTGCGGTGTGCAGCCTGATCTCTCCCAGGCAGTGGCGGCGAGGTCCCTCCCGGCTGCGGAGACCCCAAGCCCTGGGAGACGACCTGTCGGGGCCTCTGCGTTCCCACCGGAATAATGGCATGTAAGGGACACACCGGGGGGCGCTCGCTGAGCGCCTGTTTACCTCTATGAGGCCCCCGGAGTAGCGGCTGCAAAGGCAGGCTCTGTGTCCCCACCTGTCCTTTGGGCATGCACACCAGCCTGACCGGGCTGCAGGCATTATACACAACGCGCGGTGCGCAGCAAGCGCCCGACAATGCCAGCAGCCGGCTGCGGTAGGCCGCCGCCAGGCCCTCCAAAGCCGGGACTGCAGAGCCCCAGGCACCTTGGGGAAGAAACTGGGTGCCCTTTCCCCGCCCCCCGCGAGTTTCAGGGTGGGGTGCACGTGGGAGGCGCAGGTGGCAGGCCTCGGCGGGCTCTGCGCTGTGCGGTCCCGCCCCCTGGCGGCAGCTCCGCGTCCCACCACTTGACCCCTCCGCACCTGACCGAGGGGAGAAAGCGAGACGGACATGCTTCCGGCCTGGGCTGCACGCTGCGGCCTCGGACCCGCTGGCAGTGAGGCTGGCCGCCTTTCTTCCCTCCCTCCGGGGTGGGCGCTGGCGTGCACTGAGCCGGTAGCGTGTGATAGGCGCCCCACACACCCTGCCGCGTATCTTTAAGGACCTGGAAGCAGGGGCGCTGTCTAGGTGCATTGTGCAAAAGGAGAAAGTGAGGCTTGGTGAGGCCGTCACTGCCCCAACCACGGGCTGGTTCGTGTTGGAGCCACACGCGTGCGTCAGGGACCCCTGCACACAGTGACAGCCACAGCTTCTCCAACGCGCGGGTATGCAGGTCACGAGCGAGACAGGCAGGCCGGCGTGGGACTGTCTCCTACGGTCGATCGGGGGCTCCCGGTGACTCACATCTGCGTCCCCTCCTCCGCCAGCCTGGGCTCTGGCCTCGGCCAGCGGCTCAGTTCCCCCGGCTGCCCAGCCCGCGGGTCCAGCTGACGCATCTCAGCCTCCGCGCCGCCCACTACGGGGATCCAAATGTCCCGGGGCTACGAGGCACGGCGGCACCCTCTGGTGGCGGTGCGAGGGCCCTGCGCCTGCAGCGCCGGAAGGGCCAGGCCTGGCGGTGGGGGTGGGAGAGTTGCAATACTTTGTATACACAACATTCGACCTGTGCTACATATACATATATGTATTTCTCTTGCTAGAGGCTGCCCGCCTGGTGGGAGAGAGACAGAGACGCAGGAGGGGCACCCCACAATCCCTTCTCATCTCTCCCTCCTTTTGAGATTTTGTGCACATTTCTCAAACCTCTGGGTCCGAGACTCGAACCCTGCAGTCAGCCTTGTGGGATCCAGGCACTTCACCAGCCCACCGCGGGCTGCTCCATGGAGTGCACCGGCAATTACCATGATCATGCGTGTTTGCTGAGGGCCCCTGGGTGCTTCTCTCCTTCAAAGCCCCCACGTGGCGCTGGCATGCCAGTCCTGAAGAAGCTGCCGTGGCTAGCTCAGCGGCCCGGAGCTCTAAGCCCCCGAGGGCTTCCCGACCCCTGGGTCAGAGCTGGGAAAGAGGGCGAGCTTGGGGGGGGGCGCAGGCCGGGTCCGTAATGGGAGCGAGGCTGGGAATGGCGTGGGTGAAGGCGGGCCTCCAGGAGGAGGGGGACCTGGGCACGCCTGGGAGCCCCTGTTTCGCCTTTGTTTTTACGTTTTTGCCATAGGACCTGGATGTTCAGAGGGAGTGAGCAGTCACGGGGGTGGGGGGTCATGCCTCAGTCCCGTCTTTCTCCTCCTGGGACTTGGGGCACGCACGCCTACCAAGTGTTTCCCAGGCCACGGTCCCCCACCGGTCCCCACGGTCCAGAGGCCGTGCAGCTGGCCATGTGGGTTCCAGCGTCCCACCCTCCATGCCGCCTGCTGGCCCTCACGTTCCACGGTGATGTAATCACCCACCGTACACTTCACCCTTCTTTAAAAAGAGTTTTTAAATGTATTTACTTACTTCAGATTTCACAAGAGAGGGACCAGCAGGTGGCGTGGTGGTTCAGGTGCTGGACACCCCCACGTGGCTGACCATTGGCCACCCCCACGTGGCTGGCCACGGTTCGAGTCCCAGACATGGCAGCTCCCTTTCTCACTTTCCTCTGTGTGTGTGTGTGTGTGTGTGTGTCTGGTGAAATTAAAATAAATGAATAAATAAATTTAATTTAATTTAACAATAATTCCCCAAGGGAGAAACAGAGAGAGGGAGAGGAAGGGGAAGAGAAAGCAAGCGGCCGTGTCTGGGACCCGCATCACACAGCCGTGTGGGAGTCCATGCCACCCACCGGCCCCAAAGCCACCCTCTCTGCGTGCCCAAGGCTGTAGGTGTATTACAGACTCGAGTCCGCACCGCCATCGCCCTGACCCTGAGCAAGGTAAAGCCTTCGTGAAACGCGAGGAGAGTCTGTGCTGAGCGAGGTGGGAGGCGTTTCCACCAGGGCAGGCCCGGCGACCGCAGTGCATGGGGGTGCGCCTTTCTCGAACTTCGGGGTTTGCAAAACTCATTCAGTGTTTTTGGCATTCAATTTTTTTTTTTTTTGGAGAGGTTTCGCTATAGGGCATGTAAGCTCGACAGCAAGACAGAGAGAGACAGAGAGACAGAGAGTGAGAAATCATCCCCCATAGGGATGGCCACGCCGCAGTCCCTTCTCCTCCATTCTCCTCTCGGGATCTTGGGCACGCATGCACACGCGCCCGGTGTGAGTTTAAGCCACCGGGTTCGGGACGTGAACCGCGGTCGACTACGTGGGAGCCCAGCGACACAGCCATTATGCCAACTGCTGGTCCCTTCCATTTTTTTAATACTGTGACCCAGCTGCAGTGGTGCAAGAGGCAAAGCCCCTGCCGTTCTATGCTGGGCCAGGAGCGGAGACTTGGTTCTCGTCCTGGGCCTGTTTCAATATGCCAGGTGCACCCCAGACCCTGCCTGGGGCAGACTTGGGGGGTCCCCTGATGGGGAGGGTCCCTCTCTCTCTCACACGAAGGAAATAAATGTTATTATTTATTTATTTAGCCTAATTCTGAGTTTATTTTTGCTAGAAGGCCCTTGTGCTTGCCAGAGAGAGAGAGTGGGAGACAGCCTTGGGGGATGGCCACTGCTGTCCCTTCTCTGTCCCTCCTCCTTGCAGGATTTGGGGCACCCACGCACGCACCGGGGCTGGGACCTGAACCAGGCTTCGGCTCCCTCAACCACCAGGCCGCAGGGCCAGCTCGGGGCAGATGCGCATGTATTTTTAGAGTTTCTTTCTTTCTTCTAGGAGAGGGAGACATAGACAGAGAGCAAGCCTTCCCAATGGGGTCCGTCTACCCCCAGCCCCAGCCAGTCCCGCATTGTGGATGCATATGCCCTGTGTTCTCGGGAGGCCTCTGGGTGAGCCCCTGGACCCTCCCGGGGGTCAGCCCTGTAGTCACATTTCATGACCATGCACGGCCCTGGCTCAGCCTCCCTCACTGCAGGCTGCTAGGCGCTGGTTTGGTACTCATAGGGAGGTCACCCACAGCTGCTTCCGATGGTGGTCAGGGTGGGCTTCTCTGAGGAGGCAACATTTGAGCTGGCACCTGAACGGCAGGGAAAAGCCGTGATTAGTGGCTCTGTGGGAGGGGCGTCCGGACAGCGGCCCGCACGGCCAAGGCTGCAAGGTGGGACCTCGTGGTCACAGCTGGGAAACCCTGAGGGGCCGGGTGACAGGAGCCGGGCTAGGGCCTGGGGAGGGTCTGGACTGGGATCGGACGTGGCCAGAGAAAGCACTGGCAAGTTCGAAGCCCGGGAAGGGCTGGGCTCTGACATCACGTCTTCTCATTATTCAAAGATGAACAAGACGTGATTCCTGTCCCCACGGAGAGGTTTCCGGGTGGGGCTGAGTCATCGCGTAAACCTGGAAACATCTGAGACGAGTAACTGGGGGGGACAGCGGGTGGCAGAACAAGGTGGGGGGCCAGAGGCTGGGCCGGGAGCCCTGGGGACAGTGGCGGGGCGGGCGGGGGAGGGTGTGCAGGAGGCGGGCGGCTGGGTCTGTGTCTTGCTGCAAGAGGGTGAGGGGAAGGTGCTGCTTTCAGGCCCTGTTTGCCAGGTTCAAATCCCTCCTGCAGGGTGTCCCCATAGCCTAGTGGCTAAGGGAGCCAGATCCCCTGTGGCCGACTGCAGTTCAAATCCCGGCCCCGGGGAGCTTGGAAAACACGCCTGGTGCCTGCGTGTACGTGTCCGGAGACACAGCTGGACAGAGAGATGGGGAGGGCTTGTGGCAGGGCCACGCCCTCAGAGGGGTGCCCTCCCCCTCCCTTTGTCTCTCACACGGTGAGCTCACATGCCCACTGGAAATTTTTAAAAAATGAATAAATTAAAAAAAAAAAAACCTCCATCCATCAAGCTGTGTGTCCTTGAGCTGCCCACTCAACCTCTCTGAACCGCCTCTCTTTCTGGGAAAATCATGTGGAAATGATTACCCAGAAAACGATGACCTAGGAAACTGAACTGCAGGGCCGGAAGCCACGGGGCTGCCACGGGTTCGGATTCCTGGGTCAGCTGGAAAACACACAGCTGCCCGCCCGAGATCCGAGGAGCTG